ATAAAAAAAGAGTTAAAAAAAAAAGCGGCAACTACCAACCAACATTTACGGCAAGACATGAATAGAGGTTTGTCAACTGCACATGCAAAGTGGTTTACAAGATGTCCATTTCATGTGGAAAAGTGTACATAAAAAAGGCGGGGGGAGGGGTGTCATTAAAAAAAAAAAACTCAGCGGGAAAAAGTACAACTTGAAGGGAAGTGCTGCGTGTGCTCAATTGGCAGCACGCTGCAGAAACTGTGGGACAGTGTTGGTACGCACGAGTAGTGCAGAGACAAAGCGTGTCAAGTCAATCTGGCGCACCTGCCTGTCTTCCACTGCATGTGTGGTAAAGGTCAGTTTCTTGGGGATTTCCCGTGTCCGTTGCTCCTGCTGGTGTAGGATGTGGCACTGCTCTGCGGGTTTTAGGCGTAAGGTGGAGGTTGCTGTTGTGGACCAGTAGGTGTCCGTGTGTGCTGGCTTAACTCAGTCTGGTGACAATTTCTTGGCGGCTGCACCTTTCTATGATAATCTTCTTCCCATGGCAGATAACTTTGAAGGGTCCATCATACGGTGGTTGTAGTGGTCTTTGTACTGCATCGTTGCACAAAGAAACGTAACTAACGGCTCGAGTTCGAAGCTCACATATGTTGTTCTTTCTGTGGGCTGTCGTGTAGGTGTAGGCCGAATTTTTATCATGACGTTACGTAAGTGCGATGCATAGTCACAAGCAGGAATGTGGGCTTGTTGCCGGTAAGGCGCGGAGAACTCACTAGAAGCAGGGTTGTGCTGTAGACAAGTTCTGCAGCTCTGCATCTGATGTCTGCCTTAAACACTGTACATATGCCCCAGAGTACAATGAGCAGTGTTCTGACCCAAAGGTGTTATTCGCTTGCCATGAGTGTGGCTTTCAACTGCCGATAGAATGGCTCAGCCATTCTGTTGCTCATCGGATGGTAGGCCACGTCGTTCTGATCTCCAGTGTACTGATGAGCTTTTTCAGACTGATGAATAATGCGAACTCGAATTGGCTTCGTATGCCAGTTGTGATGGATGATAAACGCCGAAGCAGCAGAGTCAGTGGCTAACGAAAGCACGAACAACAGTTTCGGCTGTGATCTAAAAAATGGGAATAGCCTCTGCCCAACACGTGAAATGATCCACACAAGTTAACAAGTACATTTGGCCCTGACAGCTAAAAGCCCGATTATGTCGACGTGTACATGGTCAAATTAAGCATCAAGCCTAAGAAACATCTCTAACGGCGTCACGGTGTGATGCTGTACCTTGTAGCGCTAGCACGGGAGACGCTCACAAGTCAATTCTTGGGAATCCCAGTTAATGCCGGGCAACGAAATGTGCTGCGAGAAACTTTTGCGTAGCCCGGATTTCTAATGTGACATCTCATGTAGCAATAGGAATACCTCGCGAAGGAGGTGCGCGAGCACAAATGGTTGTAGCTTGCCCGTAGACGTGTCGTGACAAAGGCCTTCCGTACCTGGTGAGGGGAACCACAGCAGGTTTAGCGACATCGACGTTTTTTGTAGGAGGCGCAATTCGGTGTCATCGCGTTAAGCAGTTGCCATTTTATTGAGGTCAACTTCTGTGGGCGAGGTTACGACACCGACTGGGCTAAGAAAAAGGGCACCGGCGAAAGCCTTGTAGACTCCTTTGATGTGGTGGATGTCTGTAGTAAACTCTGATATGTATGACATCTGCCGCTATTTACGGGCAGTATGAGGGCCTCCCCCTCCCCCTCAGTACTCTGTGACTGCATGGCATGCTTGAGAGGTTTGCGATCCGTTAAAGCAACGGACTCTGTACCTTCCGAGTAATGCCGAAAGTGCCGGACTGTCATGTAGACAGCCAACACCTCGACCAAAGGTGCTGTTCGGTGGGTGTCAGTTGCTAAGAAAAGAAAGCCATTGGTCGCTGTTGTGTAGTGTGACTGTGGCCGCTAGGTTTGGCGGCAACAGGAAAGACAGCTACGAACATGTGATGTGTGGCCGCTCCACCTGGCGGCGTTGAAGTGGTGCTGAGTTGTTTTTCATACGCATGTTCTCAGTTGGTGTTTGCCGGCGGAGTGTGGCCTGGCGAAAATAAACGTTCGTACTCCTCAACCCACAATCCGTAACACTGGCGACGAGGATGGGATAGGTCGGCATGACGTCCAGCGCGGCAATGGAGGACGGGCGGAACCCCGGACAACGGGAGGCCTCCAGCAATGGCTCCCTCGAGCAATTCAACTTGTCACAGCCGGACGAGTGGGAAGACTATGCTCAGCGGTTCGAATTCTTCCTGGAGGCGCAGGGCATTACGGACGCTGGAAAGAAAAGGTCGACGTTTCTCAGCCGTTGCGGGGCCGCGACGTTCCAGTTGGCCAAGGCCCTCGTCGCGCCGGACCAGCTGAAAGATACGCCGTACGAGGACATCATCGCTGCCCTTCGAAATCATCTTTCGCCGAAACCACCGGAATTGGCGCGGCGATACGAGTTCCATCGCAGAGAGCAAGCAACCGGTGAGTCCGTCGCTGCATACCTCGCGGCTCTGCGAACGACTGCACAGCACTGCAACTTCGTTGACCTTGATAAGGCACTCCGAGACCGTTTCGTTTTTGGCCTGAGGAACGATAAAGCTAAGCGGCGCATTTTGGCGAAAAAAGAAGTGTCGCTCGCCTGCGCCGTCGAGGAAGCTACCGCCGCTGAGGCCATCGACCGTGAGGCCAGCCAGTCGCGACTAAACGCAACCGCGCCGCGTACCGAGCCAGTGCACCAGGGAACGGTCGCCGACTGTGGAGAGGACCAGGACGGCCTCGAGGAATGTGTTCGTCAGTTGCGTGCAGACACCAGTCAACGCAGGGACGCAGGACTGGGGGGCGGATCTTGTGCCGGTTGTGGGGGGCCGCACGAGCGCCGGTTGTGTCGTTTCCGTGATGCCCAATGCCGAGGTTGCGGAAAAACAGGGCACATAGCCAAGGTCTGCCGGTCTCAACGGAAGCGGGACCGCCGTGCAAATTTTGAGACAAACGACAGGACGGACAATTCGCGGACCACTCCGCGTGCGAGTACCTCGTACTGCGACAACCTCACGGAGACCGCCATCCACGATGTGCCCCAGCCCGGGACAAAGAAGATTCACGTTGCTGTCGAAATCGAAGGTGTGGAATGCGAGATGGAGGTGGACTCGGGATCCACGTTTTCGCTCATCTCCGAGGCTACGGCCAGGCAAATCTTCCCGAATGGGCGCATCCTGAAGTTGAAGCAACTCGACGTCATTATGAAGGACTATCAGGGAAACTGCATAGCAGTGCAAGGGATGGCCACAGTTACAGTAAAATTCAGGGGTTTTGCTGGCCCACTGAAACTTGTCATTGTCAAAGGGCAGCGTCAAAGCCTCCTTGGACTAGACTGGTTTCCAGCATTAGGAATTAAGGTCACCGGAGTGCATCGCATGGACGAACTGGCCACGGCATTTGACAGGCTGTTTGAGGAGTTTGCTGTTGTCTTTGACGGGGGACTGGGGTGCTACAAGGGACCACCTGTGAAGTTGGCCTTGAACCCGGAGGTGGTGCCAGTCCGCCTAAAGGCAAGGAGGGTGCCCTTTGCACTGCGCCAAAAGATCGATGCCGAGCTTGACAAGCTGCTACAGCAGGGTGTTCTGGAGCCAGTGGACTGCGCGGAGTGGGAAACCCCTATTGTCACACCATTGAAGGGAAATGGAGACATCCGCATCTGTGCAGATTACAAGTGTACCATTAACAAGGCCCTCCAGCAGCATGCATATCCGGTGCCGGTGGTCAGCCACGTATTGGCTTCTCTCTCAGGTGGAACCATTTTTGCAAAGCTCGACTTGGCCCAGGCTTACCAGCAGCTGCCTGTCATCGATGAGTCTGCAGCAGCACAGACCATCGTAACGCATCGTGGGGCGTTCAGGGTACGCCGATTGCAGTTTGGTGTCAGTGTCGCACCTGGCATCTTTCAAAATCTAATGGAAACCCTCCTACGTGGAATACCAGGTGTAATTCCATATTTTGATGATGTGCTAATTGCAGGAGCGTCAGGTCAAGAATTGCTCTCTCGCCTTCGCGAGGTCCTTCGCCGTTTCCAGGATGCTGGGCTGAAGGTAAAAAGAGAGAAGTGCCAGCTGGGTGTCGCCCAAGTCGAGTTCTTGGGGTTTCGAATAGACGCCGAGGGCATCCATCCGACCCCAGAAAAAACACAGGCCATTCTTGGTGCACCTTGCCCGTCAAACAAGACCGAACTCCAGGCATTCCTGGGACTGCTGAACTTCTATCATGCGTTCTTGCCACACAAGGCCACTGTTGCGGAACCACTACACCGACTTTTGGACAAGAAGGCCACCTTTGTGTGGGGCCAAACACAACAAAGAGCGTTTGAAAGCGTGAAAGAACTCTTGGCATCCAATCAAGTCTTGATGCATTATGATGAGAAGCAACCTCTCATCCTTGCCTGTGATGCGTCCCCATACGGAATAGGAGCTGTGTTGAGCCACCGATTGCCCGGCGGCACAGAAGCACCGGTCGCCTTTTATTCAAGGACCCTGTCGAGTGCAGAGCGAAACTATGCACAGATCGATAAGGAGGCACTTGCCGTGGTTGCAGGCGTCAAAAAGTTTCACGACTACCTGTTTGGCCGGCCTTTTCAGATCCAGACGGACCACAAGCCACTGCTCGGGTTGTTCACGTCTGACCGCCAGACACCACAGATGCTGTCTCCGCGGATGCTGCGCTGGTCTATCTTCCTGAATGGATACCAACATACGCTGCTCCACCGGGCTGGGAGGCACTTGGGCCATGCGGACGGCCTCAGCAGACTGCCCTTACAGCACCAGTGCCACGATGACCCCTCTCCCGCAGAGGTTGTCATGCTCCTGGATGCGCTGCCAGAACCACCCCTCCATGCAGCGGACATTGCCACCCACTCTGCCAAAGATCGCACCCTTTCACGTGTTCTTAACTGGGTCTGGAAGGGGTGGCCAAGGGGCAACATGGGCCCAGAGTTTTCTGCCTTCACATCAAGGCAGCACGAACTGACTGCCCACAAGGGTTGCCTACTCTGGAGTGACCGTGTGGTGATTCCACAAAAGCTGCGGTTCCGGGTGCTGGAAGCACTGCATTCTGGGCACCCTGGTATTATCCGGATGAAGGCACTTGCCCGCAGCTATGTGTGGTGGCCAGGCATGGATGCTGCCATCGAAGAATGGGTCCGATGCTGCTCCTCGTGTCAGGAGACGCGGCCAGAGATGCCTCGAGCACCCGTCCACCCTTGGGAGGCGTCTCGGAACCCATGGTCCCGCCTCCATATGGATTTTGCCGGTCCCTTTCAAGGGCAGACCTTCTTAATCGTCGTGGATTCGTATTCAAAGTGGCTGGAGGTCATCCCAACATCCTCTATGACGTCACAGACAGTAATCAGTGCATTACGGAAACTGTTTGCCACGCATGGTCTCCCAGACACCATTGTCTCGGACAACGGAGCTCAGTTTAAGTCCACAGAGTTTCGAGAGTTCCTGGACAGCAATCTGATCCGCCAGGTAACTTCGGCACCATTCCACCCATCTACGAATGGCCAGGCAGAAAGGATGGTACGCACTACCAAGGAAGGCTTATCTCGCATCATCCAGGGGAACTGGGCACGGCGCCTGGCAGATTTCACACTGCAGCAGCACGTAACCCCACACACGACTACGGGGCGATCCCCGGCCGAGCTCCTGATGGGCCGCAAGTTGTCAACGATGTTGGACCGCCTGCACCCTGATCGGGCCCCAGAGAAGTCCACACGGTTGGCAGATTCCCCGTCCAAACCACGCACGTTTCAGCCTGAAGACCCTGTCTTCGCACGTAACTATGCTCAGGGGCCTCTGTGGATTCCAGCAGTGATCTCCCGTGCAACCGGACCAATATCTTATGAGGTCACGGCCCCTGATGGTCGAGTACTGCGCAGGCATGTGGACCAACTCCGTCGCCGGACGGTCGGGCCTACCCAAACGGCGGGTGCAGAACTGGAAAGACCGCAGCCTGAAAGACGACCGATGTCAACGTCTACCCCTGAAGGCTCGAGTTCTGTCCCGGTGGCCCCTGAAGGCTCGAGTTCGGCCCCTGTGGAGCCATACGCACCTGGGGAGCAGCCGACTCCTGTGGTTAGCAGTGTGCCCCCGCGGGAGGGCGGAACCGTTCCACTGACTGTCCCAGTGGAGGCAAATGGCGAGCCTTTAGTGCCACCACTGTGCCTTCGTCACTCGCAGCGTGCTCGGGGAACCCCGCACCATCTAAGAGACTACGTACTGGCCTTGGTTGACTGCTGAGTTCAAACTTGGAGGGGAGGGGTGTTGTGTAGTGTGACTGTGGCCGCTAGGTTTGGCGGCAATAGGAAAGACAGCTACGAACATGTGATGTGTGGCCGCTCCACCTGGCGGCGTTGAAGTGGTGCTGAGTTGTTTTTCATACGCATGTTCTCAGTTGGTGTTTGCCGGCGGAGTGTGGCCTGGCGAAAATAAACGTTCGTACTCCTCAACCCACAATCCGTAACAGTCGCCATACTCCTTTGATGCATCGTTGAAGTGCGGCACCCACAGCTGCATCTGATCTGTCCATTATAACGCACTGTGGAACAGCCGGTTGCAGGTAAGTGAGTTGCGTGGCGTCAGCAAGACATCTCTTGATCTCCTGGAAGGCCACTTTGGCACCGTCCGTCCAGTGGAGCTTCTCAGCGGCACCTTCATGTGTCGACAGCAGGAGGTGAAGAGACTGCAGAATAGTTGCACACTGTGTTATAAAACGGTGGTAATTGTACACGAGACCCAAGGAACTCATGGAGCTGAGCCTTAGTGCTTGGTTGTGGGAACTGCTTGACGGCTTTAACTTTGTCAGCATGTGGTTAAATTCCGCAGTTCGAGATGACATGGCCAAGAAACATCAGCACGTGCGCCACAAACTCAGATTTGTCTGTGTTCACCAGTATTCCGTGCTTTGCCAGGCACTGAAAGACAAATCATTGATGCACCTTATGCTCATCTGGTGAGCTGCTTGCGATGAGTGTATCATCTAGGTATGCATGACAGAAGTCGAAGTCGTGCAAAACGCCGTTAATAAAGCACTGGAATATCTGTGCAAAGTTTTCCAAGCCCAGTGGCATGTGGAGGAACTCGAACAGGTCGAATGGCGCTATTGCTCTCTATGGGATGTCTTCTGGGGCCATGGGAATTTGATGGTAGGCACGTACTAGGTCGACCTTAAAGAAATGTGTCGCACCATGCAGATTGGTCATGACATCATGAATATGTGGTAATGAATAACGGTCAGGTATGATCACTCGGTTGAGGGCTTGACAATCACCACAGGATCGCCAGTCTCTTGGTGTAGATTTTGCCACCATGTGTAGTGGAGATGCCCATCGGCTGGTGGTTGGGCGGATTATGCCAAGCTCGAGCATGTGGTTGAATTCCTGTCGTGCTACTTTCAGCATCTGGTGAGACAGTTGGCATGGATGTGCGTAAACCGGGGCTCCTGTGGTGGGAATATGGTGAAAGACGTTGCGCTTGACGATAACGCCGATCTGTGGCGGCAGCGTCGGCTCAGAGAACTGACGTAAGCCGTAAAACGGGCGGTGCCTGGTGGTATCACGAGCGTGGGGCTAAGAGGAAGATGCTTCGATGGCTTGTCGCAGACTTCTACTAGTGAAAGGGGATCCTGTATACGCTGGTCGCGTACATCAACAAGTAGTCCAAAGTGATGCAAGTCCACTGCCAGGATAGCAAATTTTACGCCGGCTACTACAAATATCTACCTAAATGTCCTCTTGAAGCCCAGGTCTAGGGAGAGAGAGTGGTGCTCAGACATCTGTGTCGTTATGGTATTTACAGCTTGCTCGACAAGCTCGGGCCTTTGCGATTGGCTGCTGATGCTAGCAGCACGCTCACTTCTTCCCCTGTGTCGACGATGAAGCGGGTGCTTTTCTCGTGATCAGTCAGGAAGACGACAGATTCTGGGTGACTTTTCTCTGAGCCGGTGGCCCCTGTCGTCCTCAGTGCTGGCTCGGAGTGTTTACCAATTTATTGCATGGCGGCACACAGTTCAGTGCAGTGTCAGCAAACTTATGGTGGTACCAACACAGCTGTCGCTGCTATTCTGCAGCATGCCGCTATGTTGCTTGGCTTCGACTTGATTGCATATGCCACGACGGTGTTGGCGAGGCAAAAGATTTCTGCACGAATCTCGAGTAAGGCGAGAGACGGCGACGCTTTGGCAAGCACTGTGAGCCACAGCCATGAGTAGGTCAGCTAGTTTGGCGATCTTGTGAACGTCCATTGCTACGGAGGCGCACGATTGGGGGCAAACTTTGGAGGATAAAACCCTGCACCAGGTGACAGTCGAGGCTTGTGCTGCCCGCTAGTTGCTACATCTGGCGCAACAATTAGCTTGGTCGGCGGTCGCCCAGTTCCACCTTGCGTTGAGACGTCGAATCAGCGTCTCTTTGAATCAGCGTCTCTTCTGCTCTTTTAGATGCGAAGCAGCTTTTTGACAAGCCTGTGCAACGCTGTCCCTCCGTCTGCACCGCTCCTCTTGCCAGATATTGGAGCGGTTCCAAGTAGCTCACACCCTCCTAGCAGAGCTAATTGATGTCTCTCTCCGTCGCCTGCTGCGCGCTAGCCACCTGTCAGCTCTCTCTCGCTTCACCCTCTCTATAGCTCGAAACGCCCGAGCCCACTTTTCACGAGGTATCATCTCACCCACCCCACCTCTCTTCCTCTGTCAACGAGAAGCCCGGAGCCAGCAGATGGGCGTGCCTCGAGAATCTCACAGCCCCGACAATGTGGACAGTGCGCCACTGCTTATCGCGTGATCGCAACGACAGGAGGGATGCCGTCGTGGCATGCTTCCCGCCAGTGTGCGCATACGTTTCCCGACTATCGCTGGCGTTGCGAGGGTTAGCAAAGCTAATCCCGTTTGTGAATGGCGACGTCAACACCGACGAGACACCAGTCAGGGAAGCCGAATACAAGCATCCGCAGTGAAAGACCTGCGACACCGACAAAGTCCGAGTCAAGAACGCCGATCGCATCCGAGAATACAAACAACGCACGGGTAACACCGACAAGACGCGAGCCAAGAAAGCCGAGTGCAAGCGTCTTTAACATGTCCCGCCTCGCGTGTCTTTGCGGTTAAAACAAACTGAGTTTCGCTTCAAACCGTTCTTCCAGCACTCCCGCCGATGCCCGCTTCAACTGGGTCAACGCCGTGTGCACCGCTGCTCCTTCACATCCCATCAGGGAGATGGCCTTTGATTTGTCAATACAAACCGCTCTTTTCCTAGTCGCACCGTGGGCCTCTGTTCTGTTGTTTCTGCATTGCGACAATAACAATGTACGCAGTAGGCTTTGCACTCCCCTCACCAGAGAAACTTTCACATTACTAGAGAAACCAGGGAAATTGCAATGCAAGAATTGATCTCAGTGAAAACCATAAAGGTGGCGCTCCAGGAACCGAATCAAAAGAAAACAAATGCAAAAGTATAGACAACCGGATGCCCATGCCCATCTTAGATGACGGCATCAGATGACTTGTATTGGCCGTGTGCACAGTCTGCTGCTCACACTAATTTGACTCTGATAGTGTTCACGCTTTGCTCTGCTCCTGTGCGTTTCATACCAGCAAAGCACATCCCTTAGCAAAATTACTGTGCAAACTACCATTCGAAGCACAAGAAGCTCATTTCAAAGAAACAAAATTTTTGCACTGTTATCAACTTATACATCACGGCTTCATCCCGCAGTGCCTCAAGGAGACCCACACATACAACACTGATTCCTAATCACTCACTACCATATTAATCAAGACATAATTACCTACTCAATACAATATCATGCCAAATTGAAAAGCCATACGCGATCACAATTTTATTACAATCTTCAGACTCACATGTAGCGCTAAGTCTTGCGCAAGGACCTTATTTGATGGGCCCCCTTCCCACCGAAGCTATTTCAGTGCTGCTTTCCTTATAAGAAACTGAAGTATAGGCCTGCATTCCATACATAGCGGGCAGGAAGTCCGATATACAATTGCCTATCCTTGCACAAGGGCATTTTTCGACGTGCCGTAATAGCAAATGAAGCCACATTATGCAAAATATTTTTATTGATTGTGAAAGCTAATGTGCAAGCAAATAAGTGTGGGAAAGTTTAAAAAATAGGCAAAATGTTTTTTTTTTAGTCGTCGTCAGAAGTTCCCCTTGCATGCTGCTTTCTTGAAGTTAGCACGATTATATCTTTATCCTAAAAAATGTTATCATTTAACCTTTGGCAGTTTTATAAACAAGGATGCTGAGAAAGAAGTGCGGAATTTTCACTGATTTGTCGTAAGCGCCTACAGAATAATCTTTAGTGCTCGCGAAGTGGGCGTAATCTTAACGAAATGATCTACTGCAGTCTTGAAGCTTCTCGAACACTGCAGGCGTGGTTTGTGCTGAGAATTACGGACAGTGAAACGGGCAAGTAACGTAACTTAAAATGCGGCAATATCAAATTGGTGCAATTGGCGCAGCTGTTGCACCCCTGATCCAAGACAAGTGCATCAGCCTCCTAAGGAATAACTTGCATTAACGTCACAGTGGTCCCCATCTGCAGGTACCAGCAGGTTGAGATGCAGCGTGACCTCTTGCTTGACCGCACAGGGCGAGAAATGGTGACATCGAATTAGTACCGGTGCCTCCTCGCGTTCCTTTGCGTACTGCTTTGCACAGCTGGTGAATAAAAAAAAGCAAGGACCGAACAACTTTCTGTCTTTTCCTGCACTGACAATGAGATAAGAATTCACAGCGGCTGCAATCTTCAGGCACATAGCACGAAAAACCCGTCTGTGATGCCACGTGTGTGTAAGGTGTCCCCTTGCCAAAAGAAATACTTGTCCAGTGGTATTACATCTGCTGTTCAACTAGGCTGCACTGCACTTGTTATGCAAAATTTTTGAAAGAAAAAGGACCAACATCACTAGGCGGGCCAGAGAGAAATTAATGGCACAGATTGTCTCAAACCAAAAGTTAACCCAGCTCAGGGTCCTTTTCTGGACTAATGCTTTTGTTATCCACCTATTCACTCATTGGTGTTAATGTGAATCATGCGATACTTACAGCAGGCTACTTCTAGTACGTTCTGAGTCTCTGTCTCCACAACTCATACCTACATCCAACTGCACCGACATACTATATGTGGAACCCTCTTGTGCAACCAATACCGAAAGTGATTTTTCAAAAGCAATAAAAGCAGATTCAATGCGTTCCAGCATCTATTGACATTCTGCTCGAAATTCC